CGCGTACACACACAGGGTGTATCGGCCTCTGTCCATTTACTTTGGTGGGCTACCGCGTACACACACAGGATGTATCGGCCTCTACCCATTTCCTTTAAATTGGTGGGCTACCGCGTACACACACAGAGTGTATCGGCCTCTACCCTATTTTAAAAGATACCGCATGCACGCACAGGATGCTTCGGTCTCCTGGTCTCCCAAATTGCCAACTTCATGATATGTCTCTGTCGAACCATTATAGTCTTGGAATGCGATACCAGATTCCGGCGGACTCAGTGTCGGTTTACGTACAACATAAGAACAAAATGATTTATCGTTAATAACATTATTTATATTTACATAACGACAAGCTACTGGTCACTGTCAGAATAAGATCCTTGATTTTCCGAATTAGAATCGGGGATTGAGCCAAGTCGTATCCTAGGTTTTATTTTATCGGCCGAATAAACGTTTCTATACTTTGGGGATGAAAAGCCTTCAACGCTGCAAACCTCATATCGATCGTTCCCTAATACTGTTGTTATCTTACCACTAAAAGGTGGAACGAGTTTGTTACTATTGCCAACATTACGTACATTCTTAGCAACCATAACCAGATCTCTCAACTTATACGTATTAGCCACACACTTCTTTTTATCAAATCTGACCTTCATTGTTTCCTGCTACTTAGAAATGTGGGAGGGAACTTGATTGCGAGTCTCATCCATGTTTTCGTCTAGTGTAAAATGTGTGAATGTGTGTGTCTTTGTCAAAAACGACTTGTGCTAGTGTCTTTCCAATGGCTTTGATTATAGTGTTATTTAAGTTCTACTGCATCCTATTTAAACCGCAGTCCCAATCACGATCATCCTTATCGATATTTAGGGTAGTTAGGGAGATCAATATTGCCCAATTATATCTTTCAATTTGTCCGTTGGCACGTGGAGTGGCAACAGTGTTCTTCACATATTTAATTTTATAGTTTTCCGTAAACTTCTTGAACTCATCAGAGTTAAAACTTGTTCCTCAATCGGCCACAATTGGATACAGAAGACCCTGTTTCTTTCTAGATGGTTCTTTAGCGTAGGCACAAGGTATGCATGCGCGTATATACTTCTTTACACAATGAGTCATACCCGAAAACCATCTCTGCGCACCCTTTCCAAAGTCTTCTCATAAGAAAAGTGTACACTGTCATCATGACAAAACTGACAAATTTTCCAGCGACCATCTCGTAGTACTGTCTATATCAAGACATCGCCAACTTTTCTGTATATTTTACCATCCTTCAATGTATAGTTATACCTAATATCTTTAGCTTCAGTGCAATTCTTATCGAGTATCCCTTTTATAAGTTTTAGTTTGGGATCACTTAACTGCGCTGCTAATAAGGAATGTTCGTCTTGTACAAAATTAAGTGCATGCAAATCTATGGAGTCACTTTCGACGACGGGCAAAGGGTTACGACTCAAAGAGTCCGCTTGTTGCATTTACGTACCCAGTCGATATTCGATCGAGAAATCGAAATCTTGGACAAGAAGTCACCACCTCGCAATTCTTGGCACAAGATCCCTCTTGGTCAATGCTGTCCTCAAAGAATTGCACTCGGTTACTATCTAGAATTGAATTCCAAGCAAGTAAACACGAAATCGATTTAAGGACATCACCACCGCAAGAGTTTTTAACTCATAAGAGTGAAGATGTTGTTCTTGTACCGTAGTCTGCCGTTGTTATACGTGACAGCCTGAAGTGATGATTTCTTGTTCTGCTTTTGCGACAACATACCATCTATTCCAAGTTGACTTACATCGGTGTGAAGTTCGGTCAAGTAATTTGGGTATATATTGCTAACACGGGTTTGTTTGTTAGTATTTCTTCAATTTTAAGGTAAGATTTTATTTGATCTTTCCCCTAAGTCCATGGCATATTAGCTTTAGTTAAAGACGTTAATAGTCCGTCAATAGTAGCAAAATTACGGATGAACTTTCTGAAGAAACTAGTTAACCCGATAAACTGTCGAATTTCATGGGGATTTCGAGGTGTTGGATATTTGCTTACGCTATATCATTTCTTTTGTCATGCATATCAGTATTACATCGTTTAAAAAACTGTGGTGGTTCAGTTTTGTTACCAGTAATATAGCGAAAGTAATTTAAAACCTGTTCCGGGTTATCATAATGTGCACCGTGCACATTCATTCTTACGTTAAAATTATAGATCCTGTGAGTAAAGCAATCCACGGCGCGTCGTCCCACAATGTGACATTTATTAATGAGCATAATTTTATCGAATAATATTCAACAAGAGTTTCCTTACGTCTACTTTTACGATTTAACATATCAGACAGTAAATCTCCGTAGTTCTGGTCGCTGGGAAACGTCTTCTATAACTTTTCCTGCCATTCTGCCCAACCAAATTTAACACCCGTAAGTCCGTCATACCATTTCTTAGCTAAGCCGTTTAACTTTTGCAAAGCATAGAAAATGGTTTGTTGTTCCGACCAACCATACATTTCCGCAGATTTATTATTATTTATGAGCCAATCTTAAATGTTTTGTGCTTTAGAACCAGGATCGAATTCCGTGATAATACTTTGTGAACCTTGCACGTGCGTTGCTGCATGAACTCTCGAATTTACTACCTTGTAGTGCACTTGCCAATTGTTAAAGTAAATTATTTTAGAGGCTTGCTTTAAGTCTGCACCTTCAATGGATATATGACTAGATATGCAACGCCGTATTTTTTTTTGTTTGTGCGAATGCTTTAATTTGCGATACGACCATTCGATGTAAGTATGGTACAGAGTGCTTTCACGTTTCGACACTTCGCCACCGTTTCGTTCGGATTTGAACAAGTGATACAGATTCAATATGAGGTTCACGTGTAGTATGTTTTGTCACGAGAGGGTGTTCGGCAATAACAACGGTGGCCATGTCGTTGCACCGTAGGTGATCGCTAATATTCTGTATATGACGAATTTGAATCCGAAGTAAAATACCTAACCGAAAAGCTACGATTTCGTTTACGGTTCGGACGGTACGACTTGGCACGATCCATACCACCATCTCCTTTTGATGATAAAGGAGGTGTTAAACCACGATCAGACATTTTATGTATATATATAAATATCAACTGTTGTGTATAAATGTGATAGATGACAAGTAAGGTCTACACTGTATTGTTAAAATTACAATAATTTGAAAAAAAATATAGTCGTAAACCGAACACTTCTTCTTTGAGTCTTATATAATATCTGCAACAACATTTTCATGAATATTTTGCATAAATAAAGAAAACAAGAAACAAATTTGACGGTTTTCATTATTTGATGAACTCTCAGTCCATGTTCCCTCAAATGTAGGTACATACACATACATAATATTTATGTTTTATTAATGATTACATATGGCAATAAAATCATTATATTATTGTAATTATATTATAAAACTCAAATGGAACCTCATTAAAATCTTAAGATCCATATTCACAAAAATTCATCAAATCATCAACACATTAGGTACTATACAGAGAACAAAATGTCATATTCATAAAACATCACTTCAACGTTGCATAAAGTGTCACCAACTTATTTCTGAAATGTCAGTTTGCGAAACTACACTCTTACTCCATGCGTTTCGGCCAATAGTGTCGCCTTTCAGTACAAAGAAAAGGCGTTGCACTATAAATACGACCGATTTTTTTTTACCACTAAATTGACATTTAAACTAGCGGATTTTATAATCATTCAGTAAAAACATCAGCTGTATACATTGAGCTATTATGTACTACGTACTAGAGGCGACACTGCATTCAGCTACTCTGTTCCACTCAACTGCGGTGCATACACCGCACTTTAATCAGTCACTCGCTAGGCGCTTATAGAGTTGTCACGTGTTGTGTTGATTTAAAAAAAATCTCTTTATAAAATATGCCGTCGTGTGTATTTAGACATTCCACAAATATTTCAAGAAATGTCAGTAAAAACCAAGGAATTACTTTTCATAGGTTAATAAGATACTTAATCAATAAAAAAAAATATTATTCCTAAGACGATTTCTGTGGTTACTTAAGTATAGGACGAATATATTATTATACACATTTTTTTTGTAGAAACATATATAAGTTATTATAATTTGGCAAAATTTTTTTATGTTTAAATCTGCGTATTATTCTTTTATTTTATTTTTAGGTTTCCACATCAAAGTCAAAGTGGTATAAATTCCTCCATTTTTAACTCTCGCGTGCCCAGCATTTATGAACGACTTTTATTCTAATTTAAATAAATATATTTGTTATTTAAATGTTATGTTAACAATTTTTGTTAAACATACATTAAGTATGTTTTTTATATTTGACTCAGATACCTTTTAAAATGTTTAGATAAAAATATGATTAATAATGTAATTGTGATATAATATCATGTAATATTATATTAAATAATCAAATATAATATACAAAATAAATGACAAAATTTAAATATTGTTCTCGATATAATTTACCTATTTACCAATACAATCTAGTATTACCTACGGATCATTCTACCTATGTTTATTCTATGATAAAAAACCAACCGCGCGAACACAGAGTAGCGCACATTTTTTTGTTTGAGATTGCTGTTCTAGTACGTAAGTACATATTACTTCAATGGCTGTATATAATTCTGCCATTTCGTTATAAGGTGCTACATAATTTATATATTTTTTTTACTCTGTGAAATGAAAAACAAAAATGATAAATACATACCTAATCTTTCCTTTTTTTTATTTTACTCAGGGGCCACGAGGTTTTACTTTTACGGCCTGTATCGACAACTGTGTAAAATTTTATTGCGACATAGCGCAATTTTCAGCTACTCAATGAAACGGCGCAATAAACTGCGCCTGAGTTACGGAGTTAACGAAATTTCGTTGAGTTACCATACAAATATCTAATAATTTTTTTGCTATATATGAAATCATAAAAAAAACAACAACAATAATAATATATTATAGTCCACTGATTTTACAAACACGAAAAACACCATGGTAATAGTCTAAATAAATACAGATTTAGCGTTATTTTGCAATTAAACAACAACAAAACAGTCCCATGATTTAAAAAAAAAACACGAAAAACACAATGATTATTGTATGAATAAACCTACTTTGTCATTATGCTATAATGCTTTAAATCACCTAATAAAACATTTCTTTTTATAAATACACACAACACATTACTACTACATTACAAACCAAATAGAAAATCACAATTGTAAATAAGCATATTTCTTCCACTTACCGAGTGCTGGAGGAAATATTTACCAACAACAAACCTTTATGAAAGATAGATTCAAATTATCCCACTTCTGAAATATAAAATTAATAGGTCTGGATGTCTTTTTAATTATTTAATCAATTTTAACAAATCACGCTTCGTCACTTATTCAGTCCAATGCCGCCATCTTGCTCGCTAGTTGCCTAGTTACAATAATATTTGAAACATAAGTATTTTTTTATTTGAGTGATTAATTATGTGAATATAATTATTTGTAAAATATTGATTATTAATAAGAAAGTTATTTTTGTAATTCTTAAACGTTAGAAATTAAAATTGAGTCTCAACTATATTTATATAGAAAATAGCATAATGTAGATAATAAAAGAATATCTTCAAAATGACGATTAATCGTTTAGAAACTTGACATAAAAAGAAATATTTATACTCAATAATCTAACACAAATAAATTATAAGGTGCTTTTTATATACATCAAATGTCTGATAGAAATGCAAGTACATATTTTGCTAAACTTTAAAATCAAAACCCAATTTTAAAACATAGACTAATCGATTACAACTCCTTTAACTTTAAAATAAGTTAAGTTCTTATTAATGGTCTTTATTCCAGTTTATGATGCATGTAAAGAATAAATAAAGCTAATCGTATATTGTATATCTATTTACAACCCCATTAATATCCACTATTATTTTATAATTCTTTTATAAAAACGTTAACCCCACACTAGGATTTTCTCCCGTATCGCGCAGGCAGTTTACAAACATAAATTGCACAAGGACACACATCCAGACCCGAAACAATTATTTGTAGGACATACAAATATTTGTTCCGTGCGGGGTCAAACCCGCGGCGCCCGGCGCAGCCACTCATTGCTGAGCCACTGCGCCACGGTGCTTATAAATTCGTCCGCACATTGGCCCGAACCGAAGTAAACTGAACGATCACAGAACACTATTACTCCTATCGGAGAAGAACGACAACTTCATACAAAATTTAAGAAATGATATATAACCACTAGCGCCATCTATCGTCAGCCTCCTGCACTTCTCGTGTGGCGGGAAAATTTGAATGTGGTCTTTTTTGTTTTTTTTTATTTGAGGTATTTTTGGGTTTCCTATCCCAGCGCTAAATAAAAGAACAAAAATTACAAAATTTCTATTTATTTATTCAAAATAAAAATATAAATTGAAATAAAAAACATACATAACTTAAGAAACAATTTCTCCAGCAGCTTAGTTCTTTCTATAAGACATTTGATGGGTTTAAACATGAAAAGAAAATCAATAATGATTACATTTCAATTACTTAAGTAAACAATGATAAAGAATTGAAATAAGATTTACAATAATGGATGAATTGATAATATGCACAATTATTGTCTACAATAACCAAAATATCAATATTTTAACCTAAAACAAGTTAATTAATAAATAAGCTCCTACACACAAGTGCAAAGTGCAACATTCACAAATAATAATTTTGTTTTGATAATATTTGGTTGTCTATCTATTTCCCTGAATTGACACTAAAAATTTTGTCTCTATATTATATGCAATATATTAAGTATTGAATGCAGCTTATAAATAGAATAATTTTAATTCAAAATTATAAAACATATTAAATATTAGATTACAAAAATATTCCTTATTTCATTTTAAAAATTTTCATATAGAGATACATACTTTCTTTTTCAGGTTCAACATTATGTGTTATGCTTTGATGTTAGTGGTTGTTCTTCAGTGGATATAATGTTGTCCTTTTTGAAGAACCTGCTTGTGGTTTTGCAGCAATAATTTGCGAGGGACCAGCTTGTGATTCCACAAAATAAAATGGGAATACACTTTGTTAGTCTGGAAATAAATAAAAACTGAAATAAATTATAGTATCATAGAATTATTATATACAATTAAATTAACATTATATTCATTGACATTACTTTCATAGTAAACCAGTCCCTACTCATGGCACTACATTACCCTTCTACCAATACAAAGTAAATGAATAGATCTTGTTCATCCAACTTGCTCTATAATACACCCACTATTACAATTAATATAACAAAATAAGATAGTAAATACAATAACTATGTGAAAAAAAATCTTGTGTTTATCTATTGTTTGAGAACCATTTGATGCATGTATTTCTACTGTGTTGTACAAGTTGTGCCTTTAAATTTGATAGGTTTAGGACCAAATGTAAATTATTCATATATTGTGATGCTGGAACTTTCTTAAGGTTTGTTGTTGTTTTAAAATAAAATTTGATTGTTAAAAATAATATGCAGTGTGTTGCACTTTTAATAATGTAAGGAAAGGCTTGTGCTAACTTTATAGACTTCAATCCTTTGGATGCTTTGTCCGATCCAATTATTATAAATTAGTTGAAAGAATTAACAGGATTCAAACTACTGTATGTGGTCTGTCCATCCATGTTAGATCCAGATGATGGTCATATGAATAATCATCATCATCTTCTTTACAGTCTATCAAAGTCCACTCCTGAATATAGTAATTCCCATATAAAATATCTGAGTAATCCTTAAAGAAAACTATATACATATTATATTACCATATACATTATACACTTTACTTACATCACATGGGACTGCAGTGCTTAAGAGCTTTTTCTTGGTTGCATCATTTATGCAAATTAACCATCATGAAAATGTTTTTAACACAGCATTCTGGGCTTATTATGTAGCTTTGTCTGGAAAGCTAAAGTAGTATACTGCTCTTGGGAAGGAATATAATATTTCGCCCATAATTTACAACTGAAAACAAAAGATATAATTATTAAATACAAATATTATCAAAGTAGGTTAAAACAAATTAATGGTTTACAAACCAATAATTTGTTTTTAAATGGTAAAAGAGAAACAATAACTTGGACAAGAGATTTACTTTAAGGTTAGAACTTATTAAATAGTGTATAGGTATATCGTATACGTACCGCAAAATATACTTTACTGCGAATTTCGGAAACCTAAATAATTTAACGTTGTCAATGGTTGGTATGCTGTTGCACTTAGAACACTTTTTCTATTTTCTTTATCCGCCATTGCAGCGTAGATTTTAAGAGTCACTATTTCGTATTTCACTACGATTCATTGACTAACACATTGCACATCATATAAACGAAGGGGACATTAATCTCAACTCAACATCGTAAACTTGCAAAATCTTAGTAAAAGACACAAGCAAAACAAACATAACAACCAATCATGAGCAACAATAATTTATACGGCGGCGCCATATTATGAGAAAAGAGAAATTTAATATACTCATTTAGGTATTTGGTGTTACCAGTAAAAAATATAATTTTCTACTCATTGAAAATCAAAACAAAAAGAAAACATTTATTTTTCTTTTACTGTCAAGGATATGCTAATATAATAATGTAGAAAAATACGACAGGCATAGTTATCTTCCTATTGATTATTATTTCTGTATTCAAAATTTTTGAGTGTAATTTATCTTTAGCAAAATCTTACTAATTATGAAACAAGACATTAATCTGACAAATGGCAATAATAAAATTCAGCCCCCCGTAGGTATTTCATTCTGTCCATACAGAGTTGACCAGGCCTGTGAACGATCTTCCAAGCTTCCAACGTGTGGACGCCGTCACCAACTCTCGGCCAATATTGTCATGTGTGACGTGCGTCAATCAAACACGGTGTTCTGGCCAGTACTCAATTTATTTTAATTTTACAAATATCATTACATCCTTCTCCCTCAAATTTACAAATAGTTTCCTTCGCAAAGAATTTACTTATCAGACATAGGTACACAGTAATTATACTTAAGTAATAAAATCATTAAACACCAACATTAGTAATGTAAAAATTAAATACTGAAATAATCCTACATCTTCCTTCTTTTTTTTTACACACACCCAGTTGTTTCCATACCTTTATAAAATGAACCGTGATGCACCAGTTTATGTTGTTTGTCCATATCTATTCGGTGGTTTCACTGACCTCCCGGATCGTGTAACATAATTATTATTAATAGTATTTTCTCTATATGTTGAGTACATATTTTGGTTGTTATAAGATACACTGGCATTAACGTCATCATATTCGAAGTTATAGTTAGGAGTGTCGTGTCTGTTTGGCGAATCTTTTATTATATGTTTCCTATTTCTAACTATTTTACTACCAGTATCTAATTCAATTTCATATGAGCGGTCTCTTATTTTTCTTGTAATAATCCCGGATATCCACTTTCGTTTATTTACGTCTAGTAACACTTTTACATTCTGCCCGACATTTAATTTTTGCAAATTTTTTGCATTGCGATCATAATACGTCTTCTGTTTTAGTTGTTTTTCTTTTAATTTACTTAAAATATTTTTTTGTGTTTTAGGTTTTAAAAATTTTGTAGACATAGGTAATATACTTCTCAATTTTCTACTCTGTAATAATTCCGCCGGAGAAGGCAAGTTTTCATCTAAAGGAGTGTTTAAATATTCTAATAAAGCGAACCTATAATCCTGCCTTTCCGCGGTGACTTCAGAATTATATTCTTTGTTGTTTGAACGGTCCGTTCAACTTGTCAGTTTGATTGGGCGTAACGCGGCGATGAAGTGAAGTGTGTGAAATACCATTCTGATGAAAACTGTTTAAAATCACTCGATGTAAATTGTGGACCACAGTCAGTCATGACTATATAGGGTATACCCTGTCTACAAAATATATTTTTTAAAGATGTAATAACAGAAAATGAATGAGTTGACTGCAATTCGACCAATTCAAAAAATTTGCTATAATAATCAATTAATAACAAATAATTTTGGTCTTTAACTTGAAATAAATCTACTCCTATTTTTGCGCACGGTCTATCCGGTATTTCATGACATTGTAATTGTTCCTTTTGATTATTTCGTCTAAATGATAAGCATATTTGACAATTTAACACCATATTTTTTAAGTCATTATTTAGCCCTGGCCAAAATAGAATTTCTCTCGCTCTTAGTTTGCATTTCTCGAGACCCATATGACCTATATGAAGTTTGTTCAAAAATTCTTTTCTTAATATTTTAGGAACAATAATTCTCTCATTTTTCCAAACTAACCCATGTGCAAAAGATAAATCCTCTTTATAGTTCCAATACGGTTTAATTATATCATCCACTTCTCCTTTGACACTTGGCCAGCCTTTTTAGCACATACTTCTTTAATTTTATTAATTCGTTATCAGTTTCCGTGTATTTTTGCAATTGCACAAACTGGACGTCTGTAATGTCGTCGGTGACTCTTGAGACGGCCTGTCGTTGCACCGCACACACCTCATCATGCAGCGAATCGGAACTCGGATGAAGTGCGCTTAGCACTGTCGATTCGTACGCACGTGATAACGCATCGGCTATGTACAAGTGTTTGCCCGGTTTATATACTAGTTTGAATGTATAACGCTGTAATCTTAACAACATCCGCTGCAAACGTGCTGGTGAATCGACGATGGGCTTTTTGATGATGCTCACCAGAGGTTTATGATCCGTTTCTATCGTAATATCAGTTCTACCATAAATATAAGCGTGAAATCTCTCGCAAGCAAATACACAAGCATACAATTCTTTTTCTATTTGTGCGTATCTTTGTTCAGCTTTGTTTAACTCTCTTGACGCGTAGCATACCGGTAAACCGCACGCGCCCAAACCACTTTTGCTCGCATCCACCGATATAATCACAGGAATATTTAAATTATAATACTGTAATACAGGACTGCTGGACAAACAGGTTTTCAGTTCTTTTAAACATTTTTCATGATTTTCGTTCCAATGCCACTCAGTGTCTTTTTGTAAAAGTTCTCTAAATAAGAGTGTCTTGTTTGATAAGTTTCGAACAAACGTACCTATATAAGTTACAAGACCTAATAGTCTTTCAATATCCTTCTTATTTTGAGGTTTTGGCATATTAAGTATTGCTGATGTATGAGAATCGTCAGGATTATAACCCCTTTTCAGTTATTTTATGACCTAAATATTTTATTTCCTTTAAACCAAACCGGCATTTGCTTTTGTTCAATTTTAAATTAATCTTTCTACACCGTTCTAGAACTTTTTTTAAGTCTCCTATCGTGCTCTTCTTTGTTGGAACCGAAAACCAATAAATCATCAATATACATGCATACCCCTTCAATATCATCAAAATTTTCATGTATTTTTTTGTGAAATACTTCTGAAGCCGAACAGATCCCATATGGCATTCGCAAAAATTTGTACCGACCAAAAGGAGTATTGAACGTACAATAATCACTGGTGTCATCTAACTGTACCTGCCAGAACCCTGATGACGCGTCTAGTGTACTAAATATTTTTGCTCCTGATAGTTTTGAGACAATTTCATCAAGAGTTGGAAGCCTAAAGTGTTCCCGTCGAATGGCATTGTTTAATTCTTTAGGGTCTAAACAAATGCGTAAGTCGCCGTTGGCTTTTTTAACTATTGTTATCCTATTGACCCAGTCAGATGGGCCCTCAACCTTAGAAATAATTTGCTGTGACTCCATTTCATCCAATTTTCTTTTAAACTCATCCCTAATTGCGAATGGTAGCTTTCGAGGAGCATGCACTACGGGTACACTATTCTGCTTTAAGCGTATTGTATACTTACCCGGTAAACATCCTAAGCCCTTAAATACGTCCTCATAATCTTTAATAAATAACGGTTCATTATTTTTATCCTCTTGCACAGACATGACACGCCTAACCACGTCCAATTCTATACATGCGTACTTGCCTAGTATAGGAATAGAGTCTACGTCAACTACAATAAATTCCAAAATATACAAATTATTTTTATAACTGACTCGTAAATTTATTTTACCAACTACGTGTATATGGCCACCCGAGTAACTACTAAGTTTTGTACTACTTTTCAATACATCGTGTTTTGTAATCCCTATACTTGATAAAAATTTTATAGGCAATACATTGACATCCGCACCGGTATCAATTTTAAAGCATATTTGTTTATGATTAATTAATAAATTTACATTTCAGTCAATATGGCTTTCTAATAAATTTATTACCTGTTCATCCGATTCTTCTATATAATATACATCACACACTCGTGCAAAATGATTAATCTTTGAACAGCGTACACACCGTTTACCAAATGCAGGACACTCGTATTTCTTATGTACATTCCCGCAATTAATGCACTTGTCCTTTAGCGGGATATAATTATAGGAAAAACCTTAACGGGATGGTGGTGCTGGTCCGCTCCGCCAGCCGCTCCGGCTGCCGCTCGCGCCCGTAGCGTGCGCCGCGCTCCGCCAGCAGCCCGTACTCGAGATGGCTCCCTTGTTGCCCCGACCCCGATTGCCACTTGGTTCATTTCTTTGGTTATCCCGTGATAGGTTTAAAACTTTATGTACGGCACGTATATCCTCTCTTTCTATATTCAAATTTCTGATCTCATAAATTGGCTCTTCACGTCTTATATTTTCCGAGTGAACCTTCGAAATTATCGCCGCACGACTTATGTCCAATGCAGTTTTTAATGTTAAATTATCTTCCCTTAATAATCTTTCCCGTATACTCGCACTAGTCACACCACAGACCAGTCTATCCTTTATTAGACTATCAGATAATTCTCCAAATTCGCATGTCTGAGACAATTTACGCAACTCAAATACATATTGATCGATCGTTTCATTTTGTTTTTGATCTCGTGTGAAAAACTTATGCCGCTCAACGGTAACGTTTCTTGTAGTTTTAAAATGTTGGTCTAGTATTGTTAAGACACCCTCAGCTGTTGCGTATTTTTCCGAAGACTGGTCTAAAATGTCTCGACACTGTTCTCCAAGCACATGTAGTAATATATTTAGTTGGATGGATACATTTTTCTTATCAATCTCGCAGACTTTACAATATATAATATAACTATTGCGTCATTTTGTCCAACTTTCACTTAAACTTCCAGAGAACGAATCAATTGCATTTCTATCAAAACAAAATGGAGGTGGCGGCGTTAAGACACTTTCCATTTTTAATACGTGCACTCGTAATTATTACTATTACACCGATAATATACTAATTAATGTTATTAAATTATAATATATTTATCTCATTAATAACAAATCTTTGCTCCATTTTAAAATTTAAATTACCGACTGCGCCAAGTCATGTGTGACGTGCGTCAATCAAACACGGTGTTGTGGCCAGTACTCAATTTATTTTAATTTTACAATTATCATTACAAATATATTCGCCACTACATTCGCCACTGTGTTGGCCAACGTGTAAAGGCGACAAAAGCCGAACATGGTTCAAGCTTTTCGCCCGAAATGGGTCCCAACCACAGAAATCTATTGCCTTATTATTTAGATTTCTGAGGTCCCAACAAAGACATTGAAACGTTTGCGCTTATGTGGACCAACATCGCGATCCTATTAAAAATCATATCGAAATAAATCCACTACACATCTTAACAATTAATTACTGAATTAGGCCGTAATTCAATATCATCTCAAACTTACAGATCAATAGCAAATACAGCGAGGAGTTGGCTGAAGAATGTCTGGAATGGATCAGACAGATCACCGGGGAGCCCGACAACACATCGGGGGACATGGACAACTTCTTCGAAGTGCTCAAGGATGGCACCCTTTTGTGCAAGTCAGTATTATTTTCGCATTTCTCATTCGACTACACAATTTTGTTGTCATAACAACTCGCATATGTAGGTAGAAGATAAATACCCGGATTTTATCATTCTTCTCCTTTAACTTTTCAAATTCTTCTTCTTCTTTAACAACCCGTACTAGGCCCCAGCTGTACATGAGCCATTCCCATTATAGGATTTCCGGTATTCGCCACGTTTGCAACCTGTGCGTCTTAGCTATATAATGACTTATTACGACTACACCGTTACCGCACGGCACTGTAGATGCACAATGTAAAGACAGTATAAGTAGATGCCTACTAGTTTCCCCGTTACAGTCACCTTTTTACTATCTGGACATTTGATAAATGCATCAATTGACGTACAACCAAAAACTTTCTTATTTTTGGTTTGTGTCGGTATTTACATCATACACTTTTGGATTTTTCTATGAGTAAAGGCCATTGAATACCAATAGGCGTTATGACAATCCAGATTACGCAGGATGTAAATTCGGTTTTTATCGAGACCGGTAACGAGCAGCGGTGTAAAAGGCAACGAGAAGTCTGGCACTGCGAACGTCTTTCCGTCTGCGAAGCGTAATTATTACGGTAAATCCTCAGTTTAAAATCTAGTCCAAAAATAAATTTTTTGGGGTGATAAAAATGCAAATGATTTGCACTCCGATGATTAACAATGAGTTTCTCTCAATCTCCAATTTTTAAAGCAAAAATTTGACTGTGTCGTGAGTCGTGACGATCTATTATACAACAACATGTAAATGTGTATGTGCATGCATGCATTTATGCTTATATAAAAAATGTCGCAAATAAATTACTGATTAATGTTAAGAGCCGTGGTAGCTCAGATGGTTAACGCTCGCTGTAAAATAACAGAACGCGAGTAACCCGGGTTCGATCCCCGCCGGCACCAATGAAATTGTTAATTGCAATTTTAAGTGCTGATTTACCACGTGCTCGGCGGTGAAGGAAAACATCGTGAGGAAACCTGCATGTCTGAGGAATAACAAAAAAAAAATCGAAGACATGTGAAGTTCGCCAACACGCATTGGGGCAGCGCGGCGGACACTTCCTTGCCCTAAACCCTCTCAGAAATGAGGGGGGAGGCCTGTGCCCAGCAGTGGGACGTATATAGGCTGTAACTTTATTTTTTTACTTTTAAATAAATTACTGATTAATGTTATATTAATACTATTGGTCTGTTATATTTCAGTTAGTATGTCTGTATTAAGCTATTTTTTGCATGTTCGGAAGTTAGATACCGTTTTTTTCTGCCAACATACTGCTGAGCAGTTTGGCGACCGTAAAGCTGTAACTGTAAATTTTTATTATGTTAAAAATAAATAAAAAGTAAATTCATAAGATTCAAGAATAAAAATTTTAACTTGCTAGAATCGAGTCATTCGAGAACTTAGATATTATAATATACGAATGTTGCTTGTTTTTCCATGCAGGTTATTCTTTAATGGAACTTTTATAGACCTTCACTTTGCGTTAGATTAAAGGGTGTGGGTAGAGGAGTGTCTTCGCATGGGCACGGTCATTTACCGTGCAGCACTTAATCCACACGAACATAAAACATATACAACAACACAGCACTTTATTGTTATACTGCTTTTTAATAATCCTTTCCTGACAATTTTAATGTGTGTTTGATGTGTTATAATCGTTAGTAATTTATTTAGATGTGTCGCGATTTTAAATATGCTGAAAAATTAACATGCCTGAAGTTCCAACAGAGAAAACGGAAAGGGTGTTGTGTTACAAAATCGGGGGCTTATCATTCTACTCTAATATTACTCTGACGGACGACACACACGGTCAGTTCAACTGTCGATAATTATAAATATATCAATATCGGAGTTTTATATATAAGTTTATTTATCGATATATCGAAAATCTAATATTTTAAAAAATTATCAACAGTCCTAGTTTGAACTGATCAGTTGGAATGATCAGGAACTGACCGTGTGTGTAGTCCATAAGATTTCATGGAGCGATATTTATCCGAGTCCGCAGCGGTGCTGCGAACGCGTAGATTGTATTCATCTAAAAACAAAGCATAAAATAGTAGTAAAAAGTCGCCATTCGTTGTAAATAACAGTTCTTTCTGCAAAATGGTTGTCAAGAAGAATATACATCTATCCTCGTTTGCGAATCAAAATGTAGATGCGTTGTCAGCCGTGAGGACTAAGATGGAATGCCTCCCTTCCAGTGAAAAGGGTATCCCGTTCTCTTTCACTCACCATACGAAACACAGCAGCATTAAGCTGCTATTTTACGGTGGTATTCTGTGAGAGCGTGGTCTTTTCCCGGTCGAACCGACCCATTCGTGCTACATACTATCAATATAAGTTCATGGCTCTAGCTCCTAGAAAACATCACGGCACACGGCGTGTGCGGTTTCATGCGACTGCCTCTGCACTAGTGCGCCACTGGCAAAATGGTTGGCACGCGCTCTGCCCAGGCACGACCTTACTGGGTAGGACTTCACTAGATATAGTTCCATCACAAATTACCCGACCTTCGGGCCCTCCCGATTGACGATCATCTAACGCCAAGTTTTGCGGGCGTTACCGCCTTCGAGGCGGACTCCGCGAGGTATCCGTACTAACTGCGGTCTCGTGAGTTTTGAAATAAAATCTCTGTTCCTGTGAGTTCTTAGTCTAAACATGTAGTTTGTGAGTTTGTACGCCTATAGCGTGTAATCTTAAGAACCACTTATTCGATTTCGAAAATCCTCGCACTAGTAGTAAGCTCGATTGTAAAGCTATGTTGAGCTGTGCTGATAAAAATAGTACGTAATAAAATGCTGGGTTAATACTCATCATCTGAATAGTCATAATAGCTCAAGAGCTAAGTGCTCACCATAATTTAACCTGGTTGCGGTTCCCGCCAGCACCAATGTGATTGAACATTTATTTGCAATTTTAAGTGTTGATTTACCATCTGCACTGTGGTGAATGGAAACATCGTGAGGAAACCCGCATATCTCAGAAATAAAATATATTTGGACACCAACACGCAGTGGAACAGCGCAGCTTGTTGCTCTAAAACCCTTTTAGAAATGAGAAGAGAGTTTTAACTTTGATAGTCGTCTTAACTTTTCATATACGCGCTATACGGTCAAAATCGCGGGCAGCAACAATTGTAGTAATACAATGGTAAATGTGATAATTTGTATTTTCAGGCTTGTGAACAACATCAAACCAGGAATGGTGAAGAAGGTGAACG